TGGTTTTGTTTACTTACAAGGACAGTTCTCTTAACTTCCCCTGTAAAAAACGTCACTATTGAAAGAAAATAACCTAGACTGACTGTAAAATTCATGCTGGGCTTGTAGTTCGTCAAGACGTGCTGTTACTGATGTGCTGTTTAAAAGGTGTTTGAGGTACTTAGGACATATCTATACCAGCTGATGTTTTTATTTCTCAAAACCTAAACCCACTTTGAGGAGATAAGGTGTGTTTTGGAGCAAATCCTTTTAAAAATGTTGTGATGACATAAAAATATTTTCCAGGAGTTCTAACGATTGTGTCTAATGTTACTGTATCAGGTGATGCTCGTCGTGCAGGAGGGAAGATCCCTTTATATGTAGGCCGTGCATCTAGGTCTGGGAAAACAAGAGCGAAAGCTACTACACCAAGTAAGATAACCTACCCCTTAGATGTATTGCCTGTGAGGGAAGGGAGACTTAACTTCCAGGTTGTTTACAACCCAAATTTCTATTCCTGCTTGAAGAAGAGAACATACTCTCTGTAAAAAGTCAGTAAACATAAAAGTTCCCAAAGGTTACATCCTCCAACCTGTAAATTCATAGTAGTAAGTGACTCACATGTGTGTTATAAAGCTGCTTTATCAAACACTTTGATGTCTTTTGGATACAATACTCGCATTCACAATTTTCAAAACGAAGACCAGGAAGACATGCTATGAGTCCTGCTTGTTTAGTTTTTGCTTTAGAAGTACTATTGTTGTGCAGTATTATTATGAATTAATGAAAATTAACTCATTTTCATCACTTTGCAAAATACATTCATTCATTTAAAATTTGGAAGGTTGTTTTTTTTTCTTTAACTTCAGAATTTGGGGGTTGGACTAGATGAGGTCCCTTCCAACCCAAATCATTCTGTGACTCTGTAATTCTCCAGAGCATGCACCAGGTAACTGGCTATGTAGCTGGTAAAGTAGATTCTATTTCCTACTGTTTGGTTAGCTGTGTATACACAGTCTTTAATTAGAGGGAATTGGTTTTGGTGGGGATTTTGTTGTTGGTGGTTTTTTCTTTTTTTTTTTTTTTTTTTTGTTTTTTTTTTTTTTTTTTTTTTTTTTTTTTTGAGGACATAACAATAGGTGTTTCAAGATTCTTCTATTAAGTAGTTAACTTCTTTAGGATCTTATCAGATATGTGACCTTTTTTCTCAGACTTTAAAAAGTTGCATGAGGCCCACTTTAAGAAAATGGAATCTATCACTGACTACATTGAGAGGAAAAAAAAAATTATTGAAAACTGCAACAGTTCTCTCAGCAATGTCAAGGTAAGTGATAACAGGGGAAGAATTCCATTGTTCCCATATTCATTTATCTCCAGAGCATCTCTGTAAAAGTACTGTAGAGGCTTTTTAGAGGAGTAAGTAGCTGGTCATGTGTACGTGCAGTGGAGGTTATGATCAGTGAAATTTAACTGCAGTCCTGTATCACTAGTTACATGTAGTTATTTGTATACAGCTTGTGTAGTTATATAAGTTTTTCTATATTAACAGTGTGTGGCTTTAAACAGTCATAGAAACCAACAAATAACTTGTCAGTTTTGAGTAACAATAATTATATCACCATTACTTTTGTGAAGGATCTCCTGGAGCTTTTGCTTACAACTGTTTGAATTGCTGTAGAACTTAACCACGGGGATGTTTTTCTTTTGTTTGTTTTTTTCAAAGAACGGGAATTAAATATTAAGTTCCTCTTTTGTGCCTTGAAGAACCATTGTCCAATGACTGCACTGAGACTCTCCTTTAAAATACAAGCAGTATATGTTGTTCTCAGTGTCCCCAGTTCTCACATTTTGTATTTCACACGTGCATGGGTGAAGCTGCTAATAGGGCCTCTTTCAGAACATGACAGACCTTAGGAAAAGTGACAGGACTGTACCAGTGAGTATATGAGTGAATGTGTCAGTGGGCACAGCAAAACATAAACACTGCAGCTCCTGAACTCTGCACTTCTCTTTTCTGTGGCATACAGTGTATCAATAGATACTTAAGCCAAATTACTTTTGGCAGGTGCTGTCCAAAAAATCAAATCATTTAAGAGCATCAGAAAAAGGCACTCCAAAGAACAATTCAAAGGTATGTGTTTTCAGATCAGTTTAATAATAATAAAACTACTTATGTTTAAAATATGCTTTTAAAGAAAAAAAAAGTCAGGCTGTACGCTTCTGATTCGCTCTGTATTTTGCCTTCCTCTGAGCTGCTTTTCTGATACATTTTTAGCAGTTTCCTAACTCATGGTTTGCTTTTTCCCTAGAAACAAACCAATGGGAAAACATTTTTATTCAGCCCAAATCCAGAAAGAGGCAGATTCTCCACCACCTGCACTCCTAGTAACCTCCAGCGCTCGCCACGCAGTTCCCTGAACGCTGCCAGTCGGAGTATTTTATCTAGGAAATCTTCATTTCATCCTTCTGTCCTTTCAACTACCAAAATGAATGTCAGGTAAAAAGAACAAACTAAAACTCCCAGTGAGCAGTTTGGTACGATGCACATGAAATAATCAACACTGACTGCGATTTGACTACATTATTTGTATTCCAAACATGGATTACACGAGACTAATTCTGGTTACTAGCTTTCACTCTAGTTTTATGGCTGATTTACACCTTACTGTGCTGTTACTATCTCAATTCTTCATTTTGATGCCTGATGGTAGTGGAATCTTGCCTTTCTTTCAGCTTTCTTTTTTTGCTAAGACAACCAAGCCAAGTTATTTTTCTTCTCTTACTGTGTTAGGTCTTCCATTTTGTCAGCCCACCTCACAGTCTCTGTTATATCTGAATTAATTTATCTTTGAGGTTATTTAGCCAGAACTGTACACAGTATTTCAGGTGAGTCTCACAATGGACTCATAATTGGGTTGTTTTTTGGGGGGGGTAATCTTTTTCTCTTCTCCACCTCTCCTTCCCCCTGCCCCGATGTCACAGCAGGGGCTCATCTTGAGATTGACTACTATAAGCAGGTTGTTTCTAGCAGATGGGAACCAAGTTGACACTGGGAAGTCATGATGAATTGCTAAATGAATGAGCTCATACTCAATGCTATTAAACCCCATCTCATTTCCTTCTAAAACACCACGTGCACTTCATTATTCCTACGCAGGAATCTAATTCTCTATTACGTTGATGCTTCCTGAACTTTTGTTATCATTAAATTTTATTAGCTTATTACTAATTTTTCTAAAGTCTTGAACAAAAACCCTTCTAAAAGAAGGAATCAAAAGGACAGTCCATATGATACTCCATTGATAAATGCCCTTTTGCCCAGTTTTATTTTCAGGGAAAGTCCTTGTCTCTACTATTTCTTTGTTGGTTTCTAATTATTGTACTAATTACAATTTTATTCAGTTTACTAAACTTTCCACAGTGATTGCAGTTCAGATTTAGACATTCTATACTTTACCCTTATCCTTCTCTCCCTGCTTACAGTACCTGGTTAATCTCAGGTCTCAGTTCTGTTCCTTTCCATTTTCCTGATAATGTTCACTTCTTAACTTTTGCATGCCAGGATTAGAGCTGCTGGGACTTTTTTGGTCCCTGAATAAAGTGTGTGTGGGATTGTTGTTACTAAGTCAGATAGTGTGACTTACAATATTGACATCTCCTATTAAATAATTATGGGACTTTTAAATGCAGTTCTGCTAATCAGAGGTCAGGTTCACGGGTTCCTGGTAAAAATCAAGCGCATAATCTTACTGGCTTTGTTTCTGCTTTGAATGTGCTGTCTCTGATTTCAATAGATAACAACATATACAGGCAATATTGATTCTGCCTCTGGTCTCCTCTTGGATGATCTTTGTCTTCACTGCAGCCCTACTCGGTTCTTTAGCAATATGTAAACCAAAACAACACTGTCAGAATTTGCTTCCATTCCATTTCTCCAAAGATGTGCCGGGGTGGATCTTGCAAGCTGCACTTCATCCATAAACTTGCTAGCCTTTAAAACAGCCTGCTTTGACATTTACTCACTGTCTTGCCATATCTTGCAGCCTTTCAGCTTATTCTCAGTACCTTTTTGATAAGGTGATTACTTCATGCAAGATTTTGGGTTTTCTTTCATATGTTTTGTCCTGGTCTCTCTAGGATCAAGTTAATTTTCTTCTCAGTAGCTGGAATAGCTGTGTTTTGGTTTCAGTGGGGGATTTGTTATGAGAAGAATATTGACAGTGTACCAATGTTTTTAGATGTTGATGGAAGTCCAAGGACTTTAGTGTGTTGCACAACCCCAAACTGGCGTTTGGATATGCCAGTGAGATATTCCATATATCCTATCACGTCATGTTCTGTATATTAACCAGGGCTGAGGAGAAAGCTGGTGATTCTCTCAGGGATCATTCAGGCTCACTCTTCTGGTGTTTCAGTTTCAGGATTGTCTTTGCTCTGGGATCACAGGCTGGGCAGCAGTCGGTGGGTGGTGAGCAATTGCACTGTGCGTCACTCATTTGCATATTCTATTATTACTGTTGTTATTTTATATCAATTAGTAAATACTTATTTTCTCAACCTATGAGTCTCCTTATCCTTACTCTAATTCTCTCTCCTATTCCCTGCGTGGGGAGGGTAGGGAGAGAGCGAGTGGCTGTGTTTGGCTGCTAGCCAAGTGAAACCACCATGTTCATTTATATTTTATATTATATATACATTTTATATACACACATATATACATTAAATATGTGTGTATATATGCACATACATATAGCACGTGTGTGTCTTGGCACACAAGACACTTGTGTGTTTTGACTAAAATATCCAGCTTCTTCCTCTTGTAGATTTTTGAGTTCTAGAGTTCTGATAGTTAATTTTCTTTTAGTTTTTCTTAATTTGAATTTTCAAATTAACAATATTTATATACAGTGTTCTACTACAGAATCCAAATCTAAAGTAAATCATACCTGTTGGTGAAGAAATTACTAGCTTCTTACATCCAAATAGATTTGCTCTCCAAAATATCAGTAAAGTCAGTTGTTAGTAATTCTGAATATTGCTCACTGCTATTGACGACAGTTCATACCTTTGCTGGCAGTTTTCAAGTTATTTTTGGGGCAGTTTATGCACAAGCTGTGAACATCTGCAAGACAGGTAGAACTTTCTACCTGCAAGACAGGTAGAACGCAGAACCTGCTTTATTCTGCCACATTGCTTACCTTCCTTGTAGATGACTTTGTCTTCGTATTTCTAATAATTTTCAGGTTCTCAGAAGCCACAAAAGATAATGAGCATAAGCGCTCTCTTACCAAGACTCCCTCTAGAATGTCTCCCTTCGTGGAGGAGATCTGCACACCTGAGAGCCAAAAGAGCCGCAAACTCATAAACCGCAAAAGCAGCAAGGGAAATGCGGGAGATCATGATCTGACTGCACCAAAGGGTAAAGTGGATGTTAAATATTTGGCTTTTTCAGATCAAGACTTTTGTCTTATTGAATTACTATATAATTTTTTTTATAACCTAATGTCATCTAGACCCAGGTTTTAATTTAATTCTCTAATTTATGACTGATTTGTTAGAAACTGCAGCAGTTTGTTTCCTTTGGTTTCCAGTGTTTTGATTAAAATGGTTAGGTGCTAAGACTGAAACATTATGATACCTAGTTACCTACAGAAAAGCCTAATACAGGATGTAGGGGATAGAAATCGCTCTACAACTTCAGGGACAATCACAGAATGTCAGGGATTGGAAGGGATGTCGAAAGATCATCTAGTCCAGTCCCCCTGCCAGAGCAGGAACCTAAATGAGATCACACAGGAAGGTGTCCAGGCAGGTCGTGAATGTCTCCAGAGAAGGAGACTCCACACCCTCCCTGGGCAGCCTGTCCCAGTGCTCTGTTACCCTCACTGTAAAGAAGTTTCTTCTCAAGTTTAAGCAGAACCTCCTGTGTTCCAGCTCACACCCATTACCCCTTGTCCTGCCATTGGGCATCACTGAGAAGAGCCTGGCAGCCACGCCAATGCCTGAGCTGAGGGTGAGCTCACTATGTAGCAAACATTCTTGTAGCTGGTACAGGGAGATCCTGTCTGTGGTGAAAGGAGCTCCTGATGCCTTCTCAGAGGTCTTGTTCTCCTTGTGGGATTGCCATGCACCTAGCATGGGCACCTAGGCCTCTAGCAGTGGTTTAGGGCAACCTGTTATTATCGGCCTCAGCAACCCCGATCAACTCGGGAGCCAAAGAAAACGCAGAAATCTTGTGATTACTACTGAGCTCTGCACCAGCACAGCTCTGCTATCTAACCATCGATACCCTAGCATCACAGGTACATGAGCATCACGGGTACATGAGCACAGAGAACCCAGAGTTGCCTGTCTTGCTGTGTGACAACATTGATGTTTTTTAGAGGGAGAGAAGAGTCTGGTGTGTTCTGGAAGAATGCTTCTTTTTAATGTGAAAATCCACCTGGTTCCAAATAAGCATCGAGACTAGGGAACACAGTTTGCTCTGCAGGACTAGAAAAATACATGGAGCTGTAGATGCTATTGCAGAGCAGAATCAGAGTGAAAGGGACGATACTCTGCAACTCTTGCTCTCTCCAGACTGAAATATCCCTATTTCAAGGGAGCTGCATCTGTGCAATTCTGTCTTTAGAGGTAGCAGACAGGAGCATTTAATGGCCCTTTGGTCCCCATAGTTGCAAGATCATCTTCACAGGCACTTTCCCACTTGCTCTGCACAGTGATGTTCTTGCTGCTGTAATTAAGTGCGGTATCTTGATGCCTTTTGTAGTTATCACCCCCTTCAAGTTTGCAGCTCAGTCTGCAGAACCCACAAGCGCAAAGAAGACATTTGATCTCAAAGCAAGTCTCTCGAGGCCGCTTCGGTATCAGCCACATAAAGGTACTGTGATCCCGTGCCGGTCCTGTTGGTCGCACCCCTCACACTCATGAAGTGAGACACTGGTACAAACCACGATACAGCAAAGTTTTCAGTCTCTCCTCACTGGATTCCCACAGCATCTGTGGACTGATGTTAAATTCCTACAGAATACATGCTTCAAAAGCCTCCCTGCTAAAGAATCATAGAATCATAGAATGGTTTGGATTGGAAGGGACCTTAAAGATCATCCAGTTCCAACCCCCCTGCCATCAGCAGGGACACCTTCCACTAGACCAGGTTGCTCAAAGCCTCATCCAGCCTGGCCTTAAACACTTCCAGGGAGGGGGCATCCACAACTTCCTTGGGCAACCTAATGAATGACCAACAGCACATAAATATAAGAATAAGCATCCTTGTATTCCACTGAACAGGTGTATGTACAGGGAATATGAGACATTCCTTACACAGTGAGGCTTATTTTAATTTTCTTTAAAAAGTGTACTATTGTGTGAGAAGTCACCTGTTACCACTTACAGAAAAAACTGCTTGTAAGGAATGGGCTGGTGAAGCTGATAATGCAGCTGAAAAAGCATTTTATTTTAAAGTCAACCAGCAAAAAAAGAGGGTAGCTAGTATAAAATTCACGGTAAGAAAGTTAAGCACACAATTACTACACTAGTAATTCAATAGTCTTTCTTTTGTCCCTGAACTGTAGGACGACTAAAACCTTGGGGAGAATTTAAAGAAAATCCTGTCCTGAGTAAGTCCGTTGGTAGCAACGTCTCTGCACTGAAGAAAGATTACAAACAGCCACGTCTCCAGACAAGGTTAGTACCCCACTGGCTTTTTACAAATAGTGTTATTTAAAATAATACCATGACTCACTTGTCCTTCTAGGATTTAAGTATGCAGTTCAGGGAACAATACTTCCTACATTAAGGCAATTTTTGCCTCAGGTAGTCTGTCTGGTATCAGGAAGGCCAGCAAAGAGGGCAGCTCTGAGTCTGATGGATGTTTATTCTACGAAAGCTCCCAGTTGTAGCTGTTGGAATTTACCTTCAGCTGTGAATATTGACGTGGTGTTACCTTGAACGTTAGGCCTGGAGCTCTAAGCAGAGGTATTTGCCTGAATGTTTGGATTGTTCCAAAATGGCAGGGTTCTCCCTGCTCATGGCAAACGCAGCACACTGGTTAAATAGATGTTAAGCCTTGGTCACATTCCTCTAGTTGCTTCTGTCTCTATCTTTAATATAACTTGATATGGTTTGTCTCTCTTCTCTTTCCCCTTCAGGGAAGAAAGGCGTGAGAAACATGAGCAAGAGAGAAAAAAGAAAAAGGCTCAGGCTCTTGGAAACCGTAGAGGACTATCTGTGGATTAGGAGGAAAAAGAAATATCAAAGACATCACTGTAAATACTGTTCCTGTCATGTAAATATTTGTGCTGTCTGTGTGTGGTTCAGGCTGCTATTAGCTCGTGCAAGCCAGAGAGCATTGAATGAGACCTTAAAATGCATCTGAGCCTAGTATTGTAGTGATCAACTTCTCCAACAAGATGGGAGTTGTAAACTTTAGGAGCTTAGAACTATCTCTAGTTTCTTAATAATGTTTTCATTTAACTAACTCATTTAACTAGAAGATGTTAAAGAAGGAAATGTAAGTGGAAAAAAGACTTGAGAAGCTTTTGTGCAACTAGGGACAGACTTCCCCACCAGCACGCATCTGCCCCCCACTCGAGTGCACATTTCAAAGTGCAAGCCTCAAACTGCTCAATGTTGCTGGAGTTGGAGATGTTCTCCAGATCCATCCTGAAATTCTGTAACAACACTTACAGCAGTTAGTGAGCATTTCTAGTTGCATGCCTATGAAGTGGTAGGGAATTTCCAACAGAAGAAAAAAAATATGCAAGCTCTCTGGAAAACTAAAAGCTTACAGCATGACATAATTGTAAAATACCGTAACTTTTAAAAAGTCACCACTGAAACGTGGATTTACGAACTACCAACTGGATGCTCTGAACAGTTAAGGTTGTTTTGTTCCTTTCTATGGTAAATAGCAGCTGGTAACAAATTTTTTCTGTTTCTCATCTCTATGATTCTTAAAAAAGGTTGTACTAGTGTGTAGGTAGTGAGGCACATCCAGTATCTTCGATTTAAAAGCTATGGTTACTTTTAAAAAATACACAGAAAAGCTGGATTTATTATGGATAGCCCTGGAAATGTAATTTAGCAGTTGTAACCTCAGCTGGAATTTTGTGCCAGTAATTGTTTCAGTAAATGTAGTGCCCTATGAAATATATGCTGAAATGTTAAGAACAAGCAATTTTTTTTTTTTTTTTTTTTTAAGAAACTTAATGGGGTGGGAAATAAATATTTTGTATATATCCTGTTTATCACTGGTTATATCACCTGGTGTACTATGTGTATTGACCTGGTTTTGTTCACACTTGTATTTACTACTCAGTGTCTTTTTTTGTGACGTGTTTTCTGTACCCATGAGCCTGCCCCCCCCCCCTTTATGATAAAGTGTTTGTTTTGGTAACTTTAGAAAGGACAACCCTCACCCCCCTTTGTGCTCTTAAGCTATTTAATTCTGTGCAAGAGGAAAGTGATAGTACAAGATGCTGCTTCAGCCTGTTTTGCTGTGGCCTCTTCCGTATGAAATACAGGCAGATGTGATATCTGTAAAGTGCTCTGCAGCTCAGGACCCTGCAGTGCAGGTCAGTGCTTGGGTTGGGCTGAAAGCTTTGTCAAATTACCAAACACCAGACTTCACAAAAAGGGAGGTACTGAGCTTCTGTGCCACCAGCTCAGGCTGACTCCTTACACCACTGCTGAGTTAAGCTAACTGCTCACAGCAGGAGAGTGATTGACCTGTCCTGTAAAGGTGCTAACAGAGCTGAGCTGTGCCTCCTGGGGGAGCAGACAGGGCTGGGGTTTCCCCAACAACCTCTGCTCTATGCAGCTGTAGGACCATCAGCAACAGCTCTGAGCTAAAAGCCAAGCCCTCTGCAGAGCT